GCTAATTCGGAGCTGAAGCTATTCTCATGCGCATTCCTTCTATTATAAAATGATCTAATTTGCTGTTATTTTGATTAAAATTTAGTTTTTATAAAGTTAAGAATCGTAAGAAATGGTTGAGAAAAATCACGATCATTATTGAAGGTACGTTTCTACTAAAAAATCATTATTAGAGTTCCAATCTGGATAATCCATCATCCGTCTGATTATCTCATCCGTTTATCCGTATCTGATTATCCGGATATCCGAATAATCTGACAGTTATATGATTATTCGGATATCAATAATAAACCGGATATTCAGATCCGAATATCCGATAACGGATAGGAACACTAATCATTATTTTTTATTTTGATACATATAAGAACCCAGTGATCATCAATTCACGTGAAATCGTGCAATTGCATCTAGCACTAAACAAATCGGCCTAAATTATACTATCTAACTTAGGCCGAGCGCTTAATCATGTGACGTGATGATCATGAAATTATCACTGGGTTCCTTGTTCCCTAGTAAGGAGCATTTTAGGATTTTTCGGACAGCTACTCCGAAAATCAAAAAAATTGAATTTTAGTTAATAATATATTTATTCCTAAATTTTAGAATATATTTTAAAAATTTGGTAAGCTCAAAAATTTTTAGAACGTTCGAAAACCAACTTTATTATTAGAGTAACAAGTAATTTAAAAATTTATCTTATTAAAGTAACGATTTTCTTTCACAAGAGTGTACAAAAATGAATTAGAAACTATACCTTCAGTTTCAAAGTAATTTGGTAATTGACGAGGTAATTCGAAAGTTATGTTTAGGCGTTTCAATTTAACCAATATAAACTACAATGTATTAGAATTCTAAAGACAGACGCGTACTACCAGTAAATAGATTAGTGACATGAAGCATTGAAAGCATGAACATGCGAGCTTTATAAAAGGTTAAAATAGTGATATATCTAAGATTATTAAAGAATAGTGTTACATGTTAATTTAAATTCATTCGGCATTGATTAATTGTTACGTATTATTACTATTAAAAAATTAGTTATATGGTTTTTTATTGTCTCTTAAAATAAATGGTTTATATTTTTTGTCTGTTTTTTGAGCTTTTACAATTTTTTTAAAAAAAATTTGTTAATAATATTTTTTTAAATAAGATCTTGAATTTTGTTTGTATCGGGATGATAGTTTTAGGCTTAATTTGATAGATTTCGTAGTAATATTGTCAATTGATTTTCTATGGTATTAATAAATAATTATATATAGAGCTTACGGATTTCTTATTCGAATTATATTCGAATAATTTAGATTGGCAAATATTTATTCGAATATTCATCAAATAACTAATATTGTTTGAATAAGTACTATTTATTCGAATAATGTATAGTTATTAGATATGAAGCAGCTAATAATATGTAGTTACTATGTGTAAAGTGGCCAATGACTGAAGTTTTTCATGTGACGAATAATTTGCTTATTCGAATAAGGTTTGTTATTCGAATTATTTGTTTGATAATTGTTTGAATATTCGTCGAATATGAATATCATTCGAATAACGAATACGAATACGAAGCTCTAATTATATCAAATATAGTTTCATATGAATTTTGTTTTTGAATATTTTTGCAATTTCACGAGATGATCTACAAAAATAAGCCAATTACTTAGATTTGAGGAAAGCCCTATATTTATGTAATAAGTGTTAGTTCCCTGCTGACGAACTGCTTGGTTAATATGAAATTTTAGAGTTTTGAAGGTGTTTTTTTTTATTATTTTTTTAAGGTTGGGTTAGGATTTTAGTCTAGAATTCATAATTGTCTTTCTGTTGATAAATTTTTAAAAATGCAATGTATAAAAAATAACTCACAAATCGTAACAAATCCTATAATTAATAGCGTGCTATTAGCTTTATATTTAAATTTATCAACATTCGTACAGATCTTTTTTTACTTAACTATAAAAACAAAATTAATCGATTACTGATTTTACATTATTTTTATATCGATATCGAAGATAAAATATGAATATAATAAATACATAATTCTTTCAAAACGATAATATTACTGAACGAATGCCTTATTAAAATATTTAATAATTTTCGAACTAATTATAAACCTTTATTTTCACGCTTTCTTGTAAACCATCAATGGTATAAAATTATTATACCAATATACTGATATAAGGATGTGAACCGACAAATTATTGCGCTTTGCAAAAGATGTGGCCTCTGCAGATCACGTTGCCATGTGGGAATTGGTGATTCCATTCAAAGAAATAGATCGGAAATATAAATCAGAATCAAAATCTCCCCGATCATGATCACATATTTTTGCAAAACGCTATAGTTGATGATAAAAGACTTGTAAGAATAAGTCTTTTAGCATTAAAAGCTGAAGAGCAAGCTCTATTATTCCTTTAAAATTATTGTGGTGGATGAAGCTGAAAATTTGCCGTATTTTATTATAAAATTATAAAATTTTTTAAGGCCTTTTTTGGGATCTTTTTTTATATTAAGAGTATAAATGAATATTTCATAGTTAGTTTAGGGGTAGCATTATTAATAAAAGAGCATGTGTAGATTTTATCTAGGTATTATAAGTTTAAATAGAGATCCTAAATTTCGGCATAAGCTGCCACACTTGTTAGCCATTTATGAATCTTTCTGAATTTTTTTTAATGATTTTCAATTATTAAAAATTGTACGTTCGTGGTCTTTGTCTTGAAAATCACTTTCCGACATTTCCTATCGAGATAATTCGGACAAAAACAACCCCCAGTATCGGTCATATTGACATGCAAATCATCTTTGCCTTTGTTGATCCAATAGGTTATTCAATGAACTATTAAATCAATAAAGGTAAAAGATGATTTATACATAAACAATACCGGTATCGGGGGTTGTTTTTGTCTGAATTATCCCGATCGGAAATTAATAATCACAACATTCCCATCAAAAGGTTTCGCTCGTATGAATTGGAATTCGGTAAATTAATTTCACCAGCATATAGTCTCCGTAATCGAGGGTGCAGTCACATGCTTTCCAATTTTATTCTTTATTATTACCAATCATTTGACGTATCAGTATTATTCAACCATCTAACTGCGCCCTCGATTATAGGCGACGATAAGACTATTTAATCGAACCATGAGAAACACTTAAGGATGTGGATTTTATTAATGCATGATCTGCATAAATTAAGAATTTATATTAAACCATATTGAACCAAATCAAACTTCCCTATCCTAGAAACACTACTCTGCTAGAAATGCAAAACATCTAGATCAGTTTGCATATTAATTATAATAAAATAGTGATAGTGAAAATGGAATTCTTATTAACCTTAATTAGGATAAAAAAATAAAAAACAAAAGGTTAATAAAATTAAATATGAAACGTGAATTACGTTATGCATAGTAAATCCTAGAAGATCAGCCTGATAGTTTTAATTGAAACTTTACACATTTGTATATGCATCGCTGATCCAACCGGTAATGCCGAAAACATTATATTCTTATCCTGAAGAAGTGAGAGAATGAGAAAACCGGGGCTGAAGGTTAATAATCATCGTGTTTCTACAAGATCTTCCATATTTACCTATTATGTTCAAGATGTGCTAAAAAGCCTTGTAATATTTTATATTTACCCACTTGATTTAACTACATATCAATTAGTAATAAATTCGCAATAATAAACTAAAAATGAATAATGCTTTACGTCTCAGTATTTGATTAAACAGGTTTTGAAAATTAACTTATGCTATTGAGCAGCACAAATTCACTTATATCTATTTAAATTCAAATGAATGCTAATAATCGAAAATAGGAAATCATTATGGCAATCATTCACAGTAAGTAAAGAGTTACATATCATACGTATACTGCCGATATCTCAAGAATTATACTGTAAAACATCACCGATGTTTTTAACATCTGTTTAGTCAAAACTGATCCAGCCATTCTTGAAATATTGGCGTTACGTGATGCCTACCATTTGAATAATAAATCAAATTCGTAAATATGGCAATAACAAACAATATTTTTTATCGTGTAACATTGATATTTCCAGATCATTTTTCGATGCTCGTACAAACTTTAACATTTGTTTAGTCCAAAATAATCAGCATAGATATTAGAAGATCATTTAAATGTATCATAATATTTCAAAATAGGAAATGAATTTTGGTTCAAACGAACGATACTTTTAGGCTCAAGTGAACGATAATTTTAGGCTCAATTCATAGCTAAGGTTCGTAGCAGTCATTTGAGCCCAAAATCATATAAAATATCAACTTTAAAAGATTTATTGCTACCATTTTAATTTTCTTATTTCATTACTGCGGGCGAAGTATATATTTATAGCAGTTTGTACATACATATGTACGTAAATCCATTTGACGTTAAGCCTAAAATTATTTAAAAACGGATTAGTCGATCCCGAATGTACTTTTTCGGATATAGTTAGCAATGTGATGTAATGAGAAGTGACTACGAAGCTATGTAGCATCTATATAATCTAACTTTGTCTCCGATTAAAGACAACATGATATAAAAACATATTTAAGTAAAATATTGTTTATATTTACCATTAAAAAATATAATTTATCACCAACAATGTAGAAATAAATTAAAATAGAAAAAAAATTCGTCACTATTTACTATTTTGATAAGGTGAAATTCATTCACCTACTGGTCCTATACTAAAAAGTCCATTAAAAAAAAAATCAATCTCTCGACAAAAAATCTATATCGTGAAATTAGAGTTAAGATCGTCGAGGGCCGGTAAATATTATTACTTTCGGCATTGATAACTTTTTGTAGCACACGTCGTGTTAAAAAAAAACAGCTATATAATCATTAAAATCTTTGCAAAGTTTTTAAAATTCTGTTGTCAAATATCCCGATAAATTATTCATCAAAAGATATATATATATATATATATTCTTTATTTTCTCGCGTGAAACTAACTATCAATTAAGAAAAAATCGCGTAATTACAATATTCAATTAAATGAATCCAAAAACTTCAGTTGCTGAATTTTCCTTGGATGATTTGGCTGATTCCTTAATCTGTCAGCTTGATCGTTCAAAGATCTTTCCACCTTATCATAACGATGCAGAAGAATATGTTATAGCAGCTCATTCGAAAAATAAAGTACCAAAAAGATCACCAAATGCATTTCTCCTTTGCCGTAACAATGTTCATAAAGAAGCGAAGCGACTTGGGATTTCCAACATGCGAGTTATTAGTAAAGTAACTGGTATCCTTTGGCGCGAATCAACCGTTGAGGAAAAAGAAGTATATGAGGATCTTTCAGTATGTAAAAGTTTATGAATCTAATTATTTATTTTTATTTAATTATAACAAAGTATGCTGATTTTATGTTTGTTCAGAAATATATTCGAGATATTTATGTTCAACGGGATAATTCAATAACAAACCGTCAGCACATCGCTAATCGTCGATATATGCCTTATGTATTTCCATACTCGATATCGTCATCTCAGAATATGTATTTGCCACCGACAATGTATGAACCTATGGATTGCTTGATACAAGACAATCTACCAATTGACTTTTTACCTTTAATGCATATGTCTCAACCATATAGTGTTCATTTTTAGAGTTCAATAATACTGCACAAATTAAATCCTCATTGTAAATAATATCTTTTACCCCGTTATTAATAATAATAGTTTAGAAAACGTTACAAGTCAAAATCTTGACAATCGAAATTCTGAAATGTTATATAATCTTGACAAACAAAATTCTGAAATATTATAATCTTGGCACACAATATTTTTAAAAAACAGAATCCGACTATTTTAAGATTTTTTTGTTGTCAGGATCTTGACTTGTAACCTTTCGAAGATGTTTTTATTCCGTTTTTTTATAATACTGTATCATTTTTAGAATATAATTCTTTTTTGATAGATCAATAAAATTGAGTAAATGCATAAACAAAATTTTACTATACTCTCTTTTGGATAGTTACAAATTTTACATTGAAAATTTTTTTAAAGCTTATCACCATTTGACACGTATTAAAACAATTTCGACGTGCAGCTCGTCAAGATGCAACTCTGAAATTAATTATTTTTTTTTCACTAAATAACTAATAAAGCGGTAGCTCATATACTAAGTAAAGCTGCCCAGACGTTAATTTTGACATAACATAGTTGACTAGTATTTTGTTTAGCTCAAGCCCTATCGTTATATGAGTGCTACAAAGGGAAAACCTATAATTTTGAGTTTTCTAAAATCAATTTTATAGAACGGCACATGATTTATTAAATAGAATTTTCGTTATTATGAATTTGATCACTGTTTCTGAAAAGCGGGGCCGGCAAAAACCGAAATTACAGTACTCATATATGAGCGAAAATTTTTAATGGAAATTTTGTGATCATTAAAATAAGTGTTATAATAGAATTACGAATTAATAAGTTAGTATTAATTTGCCACGTATACTCTAAACCATCATAACATCCGTTTGTAACGTCACTATATCAAATAATTATGCGTATTTACATAAGCGGTTTCATAAGTGTGCCGGGCTATGTAAGTTGTCGATTATGAACTGTCAATTAACCTGACATCTAGAATTTCAATTTTATCAAAACTTTGAACAAAGATATCTTAGCAGTCACCTAACTAGAACTACAGGAGAATCGTCCCAATAATTGCCGTAACTAACAGACGACCCACGCAGATCACAGGGATGAAATTTGAGTGATCGACATGCATACGTATGGGAGCATTTTTCATAGTAAATTGCAATTTATTTCTAATTATTTATTTCTAATTATTTATTTCTAATCATTTATTTCTAATCATTTATTTCTAATTATTTATTTCTAATTATTTATTTCTAATTATTTATTTCTAATTATTTATTTCTAATCATTTATTTCTAATCATTTATTTCTAATCATTTATTTCTAATCATTTATTTCTAATCATTTATTTCAGGGGTCTCTTAAAAGGAAACTGCACTTACCACATTAGTACAACCATCTAGAAAGTTGGTTTCTTTATTATTTGCAAGTTTAAAATCCGGTACAAACTAAAACCGAGAAGAATGTGGCCTCTAAAAAATAGGCGTTGTTTTATATTATATAATATAGTAAAAACTTAATTGCGAAATGAAAAGTTTTTTTTTGGCCAGTTTAACATACTATATATTATAGTTAACTTCTATAACAATCAGAAAAAATAAAGTGTTGTATTATTCTTTTTTATTCTTATTTTTTTTTACTTCATTCCTATAACTAATACTTACGTCATATGCTATTCTGTGGTGTTTATGCCAGGAGTTAAAATAAAAAATAAAAATAAAAAAATAAATTACATTACTTATCTCTATTATACGTAATTATAAATAAACTATAAAATATATATATACAAAATTGTTTAAGTTAAATAAAAAGATCAATCAGTTTGAATATTAATACCATATTTATATACAATGTTAAATTTGCTTTTACCAAATTTGTAAATTCAACATTTGCTTTATGAACTTCCAGTTAGTTTTACTAACCATCTATTGTTCTTTTTTAGCAAAGTTTTTAACTAATAAAAAGTTTAAGCTAAATGCATATTTTGTAATTCTGTATAATCTTAGTGCATTTGTCTTGTTCATTTCAGCTATACTATTGTATTCAAAAATAATTAAATTTGTATTCAAATAATCAATTAGTATTAATATATATATTATTACTTATTTGGTTTGTTCAATTTTTATAATAAGAGAATAATATAAATTTTTTTTTATTGTCTAAAGGGAAGCGACAGACTTATACTTCTACGCCTTTTGATAACCAAAAATTCGGTTTTGATTCATTTATATTAAAAATATTAAATAAGTAGTTTTGTTATTTTCCAGATGTTATATTATGTTTTTATATAGTAAAGTCAAAAATTTACTAAGTAAATCGATTATATGCTATTAAGTAAAATTGTTTAGAAGATCATAATATATATATCCTGAAATTTATATACAAATAGAACAATTTTTTCTAATATGTTTTTCATTTTATGTTCAAAAAAATCAATTAAATTTTTTTTATAAATTTATATTTAGTGATTGTAAAAAGTAAATATCAAGTAATAAAAATTATTGTAATTATATAAAACTTTCAAAAAATATATATTTTGATCTTCTGAACAACTTTACTTAGTAGTATATAATTGATTTGCTTACTAAAATTTTTATTTTGCTATAGAGTACTTATTATAAATTAATTAAAAAATAAGTTATTATAAAATGCACTTATGTTTCAGATTTATACTGGTTTCCAGTTTCTAGTTATATAATATCATAGTAAAAACTTTAAGATACAATAAAAAATTTAATTACAAAAAAATTTCTTAATAAAGATTTTCCAATTACATTTGTATTGTTAAAAAAAATATTCAATATAACATTACATTCTTTATTTCTTAGTAAATTTATATATAGATAATTGTTTCAAATTATTTTTTAGTTAAAATATATTAGAGAAAACCTTAGATAAGAGTTAAGAAATTATATAAAGTATGAGTTAAAAAGAAATTTTATAAAAACTATTATTTAATAAAGTGTGTAGTATTAATAAATTGTATAAAGTAAAGGTAATTTAAAACTCTTTCTGCAAATCTATTGCACAAAAAAGTAACTAAAAAATCGTTCGTACAAAAACGCTCATAACTATTTATTTTACTAAGACAACCTGTCC